TGCGGAGTGGAGACCATAGGTGCGATGGCCGCAGATGCGGGATTTGGAATCTGAGACTGGACCGCAGGTGCGAAAGGTGGAGCGCACCTGCGTGACCGCAGGTGCGGTGTGGTGACCGCATAACCGGTTTTGGAGGAGTAAGTGATTTCCGCAGATACGGACTCTTGGGCGCAGAAGCGGTTGCGCAGGTTCAAGAAAAGGGCCGCAGGTGCGATGCCTGGGCAGAAGGTATATAATGCACACTTCGCGAAATTTGCATTATCTTCCACCATTTTTATTCGGACTTGGAGCTTTTTGGTGAGTTTTAAAGAGGGAATCAAGGGGGCTTCATTGAGGTAAGTTACTTGAGCTCAATACTCGTGATTATGATAATTTTCAGTTATTTAAGCATGTAATACGTAGAAATTAGGGATGAAATTGAGGGGATTAGGACTTGGTAATTGGAGAGTTTGATTTGGGGATTTGAGGGACCATTTGATGTCGTATTTTGACGAATTTGGTATCGATAGACTCGTGAGTGAAAGGGCTTTCTAGTTTTGTGATTTTTGTCGGATTCCGAGACGTGGGCCCGGGGGCCAGGTTTGGGTGAATTTTGGGATTTTGGTCTAAATTGATAGTTTTTCGTGTGGAATTGGTCCATTGGCCTATATTGACTGCATTGTATTGCTTTTGGTTAGATTCGGGACGTCTGGAGGCCGATTCGAGAGGCAGGGGCGCCGCGGAGTAGGGATTTGACCGGTTTGAGGTAAGCAATGATTGTAAATCTAGTCCTGAAGGTATGAAACCCCAGATTTCATATCGTTTTACTTCTTTGAGGTGACGCACATGCTAGGTGACGGGCGTGTGGGCGTGCATCGTTGGGGATTCTGACTTGGTTCGTCCCGTAACAACTATAAAGTTGCGTATTTGATTGAAACTATATGATACTAATGTGTTTTGGAAAGAATTTCTATAAATTGGGCTGAATGCCATATTTGGGCCTCGTGCCAAAGCCATTTGGACCCTTAGGGGCGTTTTCTTATTATCCTCTCACTGTTTTGATTTAAGATCTATACTCAGTCATGCTGTGTTTACTGATTTCATAACTCAGTCTTTATTACCCCGTTTTGATGCATAAAATGTTATTTTGCGCTGAGCACCCTTTTTATTTTTACTGATAGCCCGAGTGGCTTGAGAGGTTTACGACTGAGTGAGGCCGAGGTCCTGTTTTTGTGAGGATATTATGGGATCGGGATGCGCGCTGCAGCAGGTTGTTACTGATTCATGATTATGTGAAGTCGAGGGCCTGATAGATTTATGCCACGAGGTGGCTTGTTATAGCACTTGGTCTGTAGGAGCCCCTCCGGAGTCTGCACACCCCCAATGAGCGAGGGTACCCTGAGTGAGTGATATGAGATATGACCGAGCGGCTGTATACGAGTGACTGCGAGGTTTGCCCGAGGGGTTGATTCAGAGTGATGTTATGCCTGAGGAGTTGTTTATGATTCATGTTTCCTGAGGGGATATATACGAGCGATGTTTTCCCGAGGGGCTACTTATGATATTCATCACTTTTACTCTCTTTTTGCATTGAGCTTCTCTTGAAACTGTTGAAAAATATCTTCAAATAATTTTTACGAAAAACTGGACTTTTAAACGAGAGGATTTGACTTGCAGACTGATTTGAAAGCATGTTGTACTTACTAAGATTTCATGAGTTGACTTTATGTGTTTTCTACTGCTCAGTCTTTATTTACTTTTATTACTTACTGAGTTGGCATACTCACATTACTCCCTGCACCTTGTGTGCAGATCCAGGGGTTGCTGGACGTGCTAGTGAGCGTTGATTTCATCCGTCGCGGATCTGTTGGAGTTGGCAAGGTAGTTGCATGGCGATCGCAGCCCTGCTCTTCTCCCTCCTATCTTCCTATAGATGTTATTAGTTATTTTCCAGACTGTATTAGTCTTAGTATTATTGGACAGTATTTAGTAGATGCTCATGACTAGTGACACTCCGATGTCGGGCTTTTCTTCCACACTTTGGTATTCTAACTTATCTTATGAAGTTTTATTAATTAAATAGCTCGAAGAAATTTTTATTTTGAAATATCGGGTTGTTTTGATAAAAGAGTCGGCTTGCCTAATTCCACATTAGGCGCCATCACGGCATGGTAGATTTGGGTCATGACGGGAACCATGAGTCGCGGCCATGTTCCTCTCATGATCAGCTTTTTCAGCTTGCTAGAATGCATCAGATTAACCTCTATGACCCCTCTGAGAAACAAGTCTTTTAATTTCTTGCATGTAAAATTTCACCAATTGCCTTGATTTTAGTTCGTTTTGCCTAAAAGCTTTTGAAGGTCACCATGGTGGCTTCCTTGGTTGAAAATGTATGAGCATGGCCTTTGGACAAGGCCACTAGAACTAGCAGGACCGAAGTGTAGAAGTTCATGTTGTTCTGACTACTGAGTTGAGAGTATCCTAATAGACAGCAAAATCACTCCATTTAAACGGGTAATGTGACAATCGAGGATAGACGCGCATCTAGAACAAGTTATGTTGGTTCAGCTAAACCATTACTTTTGAGCTTGAACTATGTAAACGTATGAAAAGACATCTACAACTGTTTACATATAATAAGATCATACTTAATTTGTTTCTTAATTTAGTAGTTTAATTGGCGGATTACCAAATATTAGTTAAATACGGTAAAACTCCACAGTGCGACCCTTTCCACAGTGCGACCCTTTCCTCTTATCAAATGACCAGGGATAGGAAGAACTAGAGAGGACCTAATCAAATCTAGAAATTGTGCAACAAGAAATATCTCACCGTGACAATGTAACTAAATATCTGCTAAATTACAAATGTCAAAGTTTTAGCAAATTAATTGGCCAAACTATGAAGATAATTATTATAGTCTACGTCGCCACGACCAATTCAATGTTATTAATATATTCAATTTAAAGTAGTTTGCTGTGGCTGAGCAACACAATCACTAGTTTAGGCAAGAGGCACAATGCAAGGATCTGTTTTGCAGTTGATCTTAATTTTCAGTAAAGCAAAAGTAAAAACATCCATTTTCAAGTAGCCCCCACGCGGGTAAAGAAACTAACGCCTCGTTTATTTTAATTAAGATTAAGACGTGTGAATCTGAATAAGTATCTGAAAATTAATGTGCATTAAGATTAAGACGTCTAAATCTGAATACACATCTGAATATCAAGATGTTGTATTAAGATTTGAATGCTGAATAATAAGACTGTTTGTTTTCTCTACTCTGAATGTGTGAAACTTGTCTTTATTTAAAAACGAATAAGTATAAATTCAGATTTATTAGTACCAATTAATCTAATACTATATTAATAAATATATATTTTTTTTAATTATATGGTAGTTGGTGGTAATGATGGTTAACAGTGGTGGTTGCAGATGCCGATTAGGTAATGGTTAGTGATGGTGTTGGTTGATGGTGGTGATTATGGATAGTAGATGGTGAATGACAGTAGTAGTTGATGGTGGTGGTTGATGGCGGTAGCGAGTGATAACAGTAGTCGGTGTATATAGTGGTGGTTGATAATGGTGATTGTTGTGATATTGGTGATTGATGGTGATGGTGATGGTTGTAAATAGTGATCGGTGGTAGTGACAAATGACATTCATGCTTGCCAGGAGTGGTGGTTGTGGCTGAGGATGGTGGTAATGGGTGGTGGGTAGTGGGTGGATGTAGTCTATAATGGTGGAGGACATCGATAGCAGTGGTAATGGTGATTAGTAGTGGAAGTGCAGGAGTAATAGTGAAATATCATTTTTACATAAATTGTTTAATGTATGACATCATAATGATATTAAGATCCCGTTATAAATCTTAATCATTAAGATCAGTTCAGACTCATAGTGATTGTATAAAAAAAAAGGGCTTAGTGGTTAAGATCTGAATGATTAAGACTCGGATCTAATAAACAAATGCACTTAATAACTGAGATGTAAATATTAAAATTCAGACTTCCATTAAGCGCAAACAAATGATGCCTAAATAACAAGAAGAAGAGAAGTTTTAGAGCGCACGTTAAGCTAAATTCAGGATTGGATTATATTAGCCTAATTATAATGGCAATGATTTCTTGCTAGAAACAAAATAACTTCATTCCGAACTAATTATCAATAAAATCAGTGTGTTTCTGAACTAAATACTATTCGCATTTTGTAAGTTCTTACATTATTGCACCACCCCCGGTTTATATGTTTGTAGTCTTATGTAAAACCTAGAGTAAGCAAACATTGAAGCCCTTTATGTAACTTGCCCTTGAGTTAGATCACATTAGCGTTTGAATGCTCAATTTCGGCAGTTTATTGGCTATTTTAGATTTATTTTTGTATCCCCAGTCTCGAAAGCTTGGTGAACAAAATGGGCGCATATCAACATCTCTGGAAAAGGAACATAATTTCACCTTGGCATCAAATTATGGATGAAATCCATAATTAAAAATAAGACTGTACGTGTTTATTATGGACTACGCGATTGTGTGAAAGGAATAAGCTTAAATCCTTTGATGACACACTCCTCGTGAGCTTTCCTATCAACCAATCCCCTATTTCAAGGTCAAGTATGATAAGCAGGTTCAGGGATCAATGGTTCATCTAATGAGCCTATACATTAAAAGTAGATGGAGTGATCAAGCAGCCCTTCTTGCGCCAATGGCATAGAGTGATGCGTCAGTATTAACATACAACTCCTTATTCCAATCCGGAAACGGAAAGATTGGGGCTGACAGCAAACACTCATCTGCATGCTTAAAGGCTTAATCCTGTTCTAGTTCCCAATCGTTATACCTTTCTTCTGCAATGATTCCATTTTGGGATTCCACGCTGGCTTATTATTTGTTAGTTTGCTCAAGTACCTGTCTGGCATAATAATTAAGAGAAGGCAAAATTGAATTAATTTTCTTCAAAACATTGGATATGTCCTTTTGATAATTCATCAAAAGGATACGCTTGATTTCGAATTAGACCAATCGAGATATCAGGAAACAATATTCTGCATTTCCAGTTAATGTTTGGGCAATGTAACTCGAAGATATTTGCGTCAAATGCTGTATCGTTACAATTGACCATCATACAGCCAATGTGCTAAAAGTTTCCAACTCCCTACACTTCTGAAAGTTCCCAAACAGGAAAATGATCTTCGAACAACTGGTTGGAAAAAAAACAAACTTCAGTGACTATGCTGGGAAAAAGGAAAACAAATTATCTACTTTAAAATGAAGGAATTGAGTTGGGAAAAGGACGTCTGCGGATCATGGTGGCTTGTTCAAAGGAATAAGCAATCTCAATCAGCTTTGGTTCACTTCCTTTCACCCCTCCAAAACATAGACCAAAAGGCATACCATTAGTACTATTATAACCAGCAGGAACTATTATTGCTGGATATCCTCCAATAGCCAACACTGTGGAAACACCTGAACCTAATGTCACTAACGCATCCAGTTCATTCTCTATTATCAGTTTCTCAAATCCATCTTCTGAAAGTTTCTCCATCATCGCCATTGCCTTCCTCTCCTTCTCTCCGATCCCTTTTGTTGCTTCTGCTGCTATGAAAATTTCTTGACCAAAGTTTTTACTTCTTTCCTGTATTTGTATTTGCAACAACCAAATAGTTTAAGAGTTCAAATTCTGTGCCAACTCTTCATATCATAAATTAAAAAATAGGATAATAATTTGTTATTGTCGGTTAAATTACAGTCAGTGTACACAATGTAAATCCATAGTTTTAGCGGAAGAGATATAGCTTGTAAAAGAAAACTTCTATAACTAAGGGTGTGTTTGGTAGGAAGGAAAATTTTTCTGTTTTCATGGAAAATGTGTGGTTTTATCACTTATTTTTCCTTGTTTGGTCGGTGAGTGGAAAACTTTTTCCGAAAAATATTTTCTAGTATTTGGTTAGAGAGTAGAGGAGTTTTGGAAAATGTTTTCCTTTCTCTTGATAGGGAAAACATTTTCCTCCAAATGAATTCATTAGGAAAATATTTTCCAAAATATTTAAGCCAACCAAACATGGTATAATTAGAAAATATTTTCCGAAAAATGTTTTCCTTACCAAACACACCCTAAATCACGGTAACCATGTCAAAAGCACAGGATTAGAGAAAGGACATACCAATTCTGGGTTATTCTGGTTGAAGGCTATTATCTCAGCGAGTGATCTAACTGGGGATGTGACGAGCTCTGCTAGATAATTGTTGAGTGAGAGCTTGAACTCTGCTAGTAATGCCACCTCCGCACCACTTTGATTGGGGTCTAAAACCACATCAATATTTGGTATTTCAAGATTATCTAATACAACTGCACCTCTTTGCCTGAACTTTTCTAGAAAAGAGAAAAAAAAGTTAAATGTGTTACTAAGAGTATAAATCTTGCACAGAAAGAAAAAAATGATGAAATGTTAAACTCACTAAACTATAATTCTCATACTTTTACCTTAGTGTCTGCAAATGACCAGTCAATACTGCATCAGCTTGATACACATCGGAAAGGGCCAGAAAAGGATGTCTTACCACACCCAATCTCTTTCCCTTAAGACCATCTTCATTGAGAAATTGTTTATAACCACCGGCTGGAATGAACTTAACTGCTGCTCTTGTTGCTTCAAGGTCTCTTATATCGAAGCCAACAATAGAATCAAGAACATATACAGCATCTGAAACCGTTCTGCATATGGGCCTGCAAATTTGATCATCAGCAACATAATATAATATTTTTGCCTATGCTGCCTACACTAAGTTTAGATAAACTAAATAAGCAATCGGGCATATCCTACATAGACTTTCAAATGTAGTAGCTTTAGGCGCAACACCACACAATAGCTGAAGGTGCTAAAAGTGGACGAGGTAAACCTTGAATCACATAGAGAAAAGTTTTCCTAATAGAGATTATACAATCTCTCAAAATCAATATACATCATAGCTAAACAGTGAACGAAATGGAAGAAATGATACAATAGGATTAAGGCTTTATTATTGTTATTACACTTACACATTATATCCAGCGTTTCTTCAGAATACTTGTCTACTAGAATAAGTGTGAGATTTAGGAAACATCTAAGTTGAAAGAAAATGGATACAAATGATGATTCCAATTAACTGCTCCAACTAGTCTTGGATTGACGCTTAGTTGGTTGTTGGTGGAATGAAGCAACCTAATATGACAATAGAAAACATAAATTACCCAACTGAGTCCTGTCGAGGAGAGAGGGGAATGACACCAGCACGGCTAGTGAGTCCAACAGTGGGTTTGAGGCCTACAACAGCATTGTATTCAGCAGGACAGATAATTGAGCCGTCAGTCTCAGTTCCTAGTGACACAGCCACCATGTTAGCAGCTACGGATATTGCAGATCCACTGCTTGAACCACATGGACTTCCTCCTTCCACATACGGGTTCTGCATTTTCCACAAGGACGGACCACAACAGTAAAATTTCTGAGAGTATTTCTTCAAACAAACAATAAAATTTAGCAGGAAGTACGACTAACATATAGCCGACCCCAACCTAATTTGGAATTGAAGGTAATTGAATGATTGATCTGTCATAACAGACATTCTTCAAGCCATAGGTTGAGTCAATAAAATTTGATCAAGGAGCTTTTACAAACTAATCGACGAGTATGAACAAACTAGTTACTCCAGTATTACCTCTTTATTTTCCTTGATTGGAACCTACCTGAAACATTCAAAAGTAGTCCTCTGATAATAGGTGAATTTGACTATAATCACACCTTAAATAATCACCTTCTTGTGTAGTTTTAATGCTAAAAGTGATGACAAAATGCTCTTATTAGTGCTTTTCATGATTTGTAGGTGACATATGTATAAAGACGGCTAAGGAGCAGTTTTGGAGTCAAAAGTGATGAAAAAGAGGCCAACTGTGAAATTTCCCAAGTGACCCGTGCAAAAACAGGCCGAAGATTCAGAGAACTGGATCCACCGCGGTTCCACCGCGACCGCGGCAGAACCGCGGTGGGAAGCAGCTGCAGAAGATTGAGATTCCGCGAGGGTGTTTGGCCGCGGTTCTACCGCGACCGCGGCAGAACCGCGGCAGGCGCAGTAAACTTCAGGGACCAAAGTGTCAATTACGGGATTTTTAGACCTAAACCCTATTTAAAACATTAGACTTCGCCCAAGAGAGGCATGTATTGATTTTTAAGGTTTCTTAGCAAGGAAAAACATTGTGAGAAAATACTCTAAACATCTTTCTTCTTTTCTTTTGATTTTATGATGAATTCAAGCTTAGTTTATTTTCCCATAGCCATGAGTTAAATTCCTTGTCTAAGGCTTTGATGGAACCTATTGGGTGATGAACTTCTTGTTTATGTGAATACAAATTGCTAGTTTAATCTTTATTTGTTCAACTTCGTGTTCGTTGTAGCTAATTGACAGGATCCTCAATTAGCTGTGCCTATTTAGTGTGCATAACTTGGAAAAGAGTGCATATTTAGGGTATTGTTGAACAACACCACTCCTAAATTATTAGAGGAATCTATAATTGCGGGTTTAAAGGCGGGATTAGGAATAACGAAGCCTTGGGTGCAATCTAAATTGAATTGTGCTAAATAAAGCAAGCTAGTGTATCTCAGGAGAGTGCAATAGTAGATTACTGTAATTACTCGGGAGAGAGTTGCGGTAAGATTAGCGTTCATAATTGATAGAGATGTGTGGGTAAATTTGTATGAGCATAAACAGAAGGGATTCCATCAATAGGGAAAATCATTGCCTTAGCTTTTTCTCATAATTGTTTACAACCTTTTTTTTTATTTAGTTACAGCCATTTAGTTATTTGCAAGCTAGTTATTAAAGAACACTCAACTGAGAATTTGAATATTTGAGAAGCTGGTTCTGAAGACTTAGTGGGTCTGAAGATAGCGGTTGATAGGTTAACTCTCTGTGGATTCGACCCTGAGCGTAATACTCGGGTTATATTTGCAACGTCCGCAGAGTCTTTTTTTTTACAAGGCATAGTTGGGCGTGATCATCCTCCTTTTGAAAGAAGAGACAAAGAAAGTAATACTATTTCTACTCTCCAATTTATGGGAGGGTGTTTATAAGTCAAGCCAGAAGACATTTGTGTCATCTCGTTAAGGGTAAAATAGAAAATTTAAAGTTAAATTATTTCTAAATAAGGAAGTATGACATTTAAGAACAGACTAAAAAAGAAAGTATGCGAGATGACAATGCTGTGAGAACTCACCACACCTTGGCCACTTCTAGCAGACCATCCATCAGGAATACTGAAAGATCGAAAATGGTACCATTCACTCATACTAGCCTTTCCCAAAATCAAAGCACCATCATTCTTCAGCCTCTCCACAACAGTAGCATCTCTACGCACCTCTGAACCAAGCAACGCGTAAGACCCCGCAGTAGTATTAAGCTTATCCTTTGTTGCTATGCTATCTTTGACCAGAACAGGAATACCGTGTAAACTGCCCAGTTTCTTCTTAATTATCTGCCTTTGTTTATCAGCTTCATCGGCTTGTTTTCGCACGTCCGGATTCACTTCGATAACTCCACGAAGAACAGGATTAAGGGTTTCAATTTTATGCAAGTAGAAGTCAACGAGTTGTCTTGATGTAAGCTTGTTTTGGGCAAAGGCCAATTGTATGTCTTTGATTGTAGCTTCTTCAATATTGAAATTGAAATGGTACTCCTGCTCGCAATTTCCATTTGTGTTATTGAAACTTATTAAGAAAAGCAGCAGCAATATTGAGGAAAAGAGAAGAGTAGAATGAATCGCCATTAATATTAGAGAAAATTTTACATGAGAAAAAGTAAGCTCCTACTTTTCAATTTTATTGCTCATGTTTCAATTTACAACCAATTTATCCAAAAACAATACGTTAGGATTCAACATTCAACTCCAAATTCTCAAAATTACTATTTAATTTTTAAAAAGATTGCTCAAGCTTTTAAGTTAATTTTCCAATAACTAAATGTGACTCAAATAGTAGTTCAACAAACCAAATCCATTTGGATGGTAAAAATTAGATTTTAACAAGCTTAAATATGTGGATTTAAATTTCATATTTGATTTTGTGAGAAATTTGGAGTGGGTGTTATTTACACTTGTTATAAATATTATAAAGAGGTTGTATACAAAATTTGAATTCATTTAGTGAAGATTTAGACTGGTTTTGAATAAGAATTGCAACTAAAAATCGTGGAAGAAATTCGTCACTTGTATAAAGGTGTATAAAAGTGTATAATAGTATATAAGATGTGTTTATACACTATTATACAAGATTATACATAATTATACAAAAAACTGACTTCGTCTTCTTCCTTGCTTTTTTTTTTTAAATTTAACTCAAATCTACTCCAAATCACTTCAAATTTAAATTTTAAACTCCTTTTGATATTTTCAATCAATTGGAACAACACCCAATCCAAACAACTAACAAACTCAAAAAATTCTATTTTCGAAAGCAAAGTTTTGAATGCCTTCAATGGTGGACTTCTACTCTTCAATTTTCTTACATTGCAACCAGGGCAGAAGCAGAAAATACAATAGTTGTGAGAATACAGATTTAATTCCATAGCTTTTAGAACGATGGTTGTAAGAACACAGATTTTGAATTTACTAGTACTTTCAAAATATGTACAATATGAGCTAGGTCAGGTAAAACTTAAAAACACAAACCTTTTTTTGTTATGGTGTGCAGTCACGTGTATTTGCTTGTAATTCTTTCTTAATATTCCGTGGAAGAGGAAGTATTCTTAGAAATCACATAAAAAGCTGAAGCAATGACGATCATCATATACATATATTTTAATCAAACATGAGCTCTATATTGACTCAATGTACTTCTATAGTCTCATATTTAATAATGACTCTTTGAAATATACAAGAATACCATTTATGGAGATTGCAATTCAAATACCTTTATATTAATCAATCATAAACTCATACCTACCTCTTGAGACGTGAAACACCCACAAATCGTCATACCCGAGTAATATTTTTCCAAAAACTACTCGTTCGAGACACCAAATATATATACTAATCAGTTTCTTGCTTTCCAAGACCAAATAGGTCTGAAATTTGTAAGAATTTCTTAGAGTCAAAACGGGATCAAGGAATTAATAAATGAGATTCCGTATTACGAGAATAATTCTTTTCTAGTCCAATTATTTTTATGATAATAAATTATGAATTATTTCACCAAAATTCGTAACTGCGCTCCTCCATAAATTCCAAATTCAACATTAAACACTTACTTAACTTCACATGTAAAAGATTATAGATATATATATCAATTAAACTAAATTGCTACATTATAGTTTATTGATTAAATAAATTCTCTTAGACTTACACTTAACTTATTTCATGTGCTGGATAAAAGATTCACCAGCAAAGTTTACATATAAAAGTTTATAAGTTTTCATAAAAAGATATCATCAATCTCTAAATCGAAATCTAAATTTTATCAATTAATTATTATTTCAGAAAAAAAGTATATTGTCATCATCCAATTTATTAGGCATATTGATCCATAATGAATCGTACTAATAATAAATAATATGTACTGTTCATAATAATTATATCAAGATAGAAAGAATAGTATATTTCATGACCTAAAGAATCTGTTTTATACAGTCAGTATAACAATGCTTTATCTCTATTTGATCTCGTTTAATAAAGTTGAAATTAAAGTATTCTTACAATTAAGATAAATTATATTTAATCTTGTGCTATAATTATATTGGTGGTGTGCCTAATATTCACATTAGATTGTGGACCTAAATTTTGGCGAAATATATAGATAGCTCTTTTAAGTTACTATTTAGACCCTTCTACTTGCCAGAAATATATTTCCTAGACACTAGAGTCTAACCTGCCACTATGCGTGTGTTATCTCACATTTAAGGGATCGTTTGGTAGGGTGCATAAGAATAATGTTGAATAGGGTGTATTAGTAATGCTAGCATTAGTTATATTTGCATAAGTTGTTGACATATTTCTTATCCATTGTTTGGTTTGATGTATTATACATTGCACAATTTTAAAAAGAATTGTTTGTTTACAAAAATACCCTCATAACCAGTACATCACTTTATCTTTTAAAAAGAAACATATGTTGAGGAATGTTTTTATATGAAAAAGGTTTTAAAAAAATTATTTGATTTGTCTACTTATATTGTAGTATAGAACTGAATATTCATTTATAAAATAGAAAATATGCTAAATATTGATTTGTTACTAGGGATATAATTTTATTTCCTACTTTCTTGAATTATTAGGCAAAGAAAGTTTGAATTACAAAAATAAAAAGAAATTAGTGGATTACAAGTGCATTCCAATACGTAGTAATAGAGTACAGATTTATAATTTACAATGAAGAAATTAGCGGAGTATTGATATAAATAGCGGGAGCAATTTCAGTACCAAACTTTACAACCAACTTGCATTAATATAATAGAATATTTTAATAAAGCATAACTTTTGAAGGGTAATTTTATCTTTAACTAAGCTAATGCATGCATTAAAACCCATGTTAATACCATTGTTTCCTATGCATTAGTTATCAATAGGATAATAACAAATATGGTGTATAACTAATACTTGCATAATTAATGCATAAATTCAAAAAGTGTACCAAATAAGGTGGTATTAATACACAAAGCTAATGCATGCATTATTTTATCTAATGCATCCTACCAAACGACCCCTAAGCGTTTTAGGTGTTATTTCAACGCATTTTCAACTGAAAGTGTACAATAAAAAGACTTTTATACCCTTATTATTTACCTCTATTTCACCCTAAATGTCATGTCCAATTCTTCTTCATCTTTCTTGTTAGCTAACCCCTATTAAAGCCACCATGTTCTCAAATACATTTCAAAATTACAAAGCTTACACCAAGTCAATCAGCAATTACTACCCTAATCATTAGTAATCTCTTGTTTTTCCTATCGCAATTCTGTTATCTACAGAAATAGAAATATAGCTCCAGAACTCCAATTTTTTCCAAGAATTCAACTTCTTTTGTCTACAACTTCAGAAGCCAATTTGTTCCTTCACCCGTCTAAACCATAACTATGCTGAAATGTCATCTCCATAACCCATGTATACCAAGTTGATAACTTTAAGGAGAAAATTTTGAAGCTCAAAAATTGTGATTCTTTTTCGACCTCAAAAACCACACCAAAAAAAAAACTCACTTTGTTATAAATCCACTTGCACAGAATGTAGATGTCCAACTTGTGATTTGGAAATCTTATCATATCTAGATTTGTCTTGCAATGTCTAGATTCGTGTTAGTTTTGGGACTCATAACTAGATTTAGGAAGTTCTGTAACAATGCAATAGTATTTATATAAATAGGTTCGTTAACGAAGACACTTTGAAAACGAAGAAAGAGATGTTCCTTTCTAATATTATCATTCTCTTCTATTATTAATTCTAGTTAATTACATAGTTCTCGATATATTGCTTTTTTTTCATAACTTTGATTTTCATGAAACTTGAAACCCGGAGGAGAGTGAACTTTTGTCGGTACTCGTCTTTTACACTAAAAGAGATTTGATACTGATATTAAAACTTATATTTGTTTACCCGTACAACGGTACAGTTAGATGTGTTACGCGGTTATAGACAAGCGAAATAATAGTGATATAAGAATAAAAATAAGACTTAACAATTGAAATTGAAGAAGATAACAAGCCTGGCTCCGAGTGCAGCGTCTCCAAGGGCAGAAATGAGAGCAATATAAAAAAGCAAATAAAGTTATTTATTTGAGAGAGAAAATGAAATACAACATATGTTTTTCTTAGAAAATCCGTCCCTTCCAACGGTTGTTGAGCCTGCCATTTATATCTATACCTAGGGAAACAAGATCCTAGAATCAAGCCTCACTTAAATGATAATAAAGGAGTCATTGATGAATATGTAACTGCAGGCCATGAATGCAAATATTCTCTGCAACGGCTGCCCATTTAATGTTAGAGAATATTTTTCATTGAATGCTAACCGATGGCAAATATTCGATCTGCTCTCTTGTATTACGACCCAAAATCCACTAGTCGTGATGGCACCTAACCCAACCCGCTAGGTAAGCCAACTAATAACTATCCAATTTCAATAATATTATTTAAACAATTAAACAAAGGAATTTTTCTGAATCTTTTACATTTCCCAAGGACTGGTAGTACAAATCATGAGCTTCTAAGAATAGAGTTTACAAAGCTGATATGAAGAAAATACATCTTCTGTTTGAAAAGTACATAAAAAGAGTTTTATAATACTAAGGCTACCATGAACAAGAGGCAGCTACAACAGGGACGCAGGTACATTTTTGAATCCAACTCCCGCCATGCACAGCAATATCGACATCCGAAATCTGCACGCAATGTGCAGGAAGTGTAGTATGAGTACGACCGACCCCATGTACTCAATAAGTAACAAACCTAACCTTAGGTTGAAAGTAGTGACGAGCTGGAACAAGGTCGGGTCCAACACCAATAACCAGTAGCAGTCAATAACAATGTAAAGCAAGTAAATAAAGAAGTAGCTCAGAGATAAAATGCTCAGCTTTTTTCATAGTTTTTTCCGAAACATTTCCGCTTTTCAAGTATATCAGTGAAAATCCAAATCCTTTACCGAAATGGTCAAAATATGAGAAAGTTTGAAATTTGTAATTTTTTTTCCAAAAATATTTCATCAAGTAAATGTTTCATTTTCAGATAGCATGAGGAAAGTACATCTCTATGCTACATGTCAAAATACAGGTAAAAATCATGAATGTCACTAAAACCAGGTAGCAAAGGAAATGCATCTCTATGCATGTATCTCAAGTACGTATGTCAAATTGTTAA